TTGTTGGTTTAGCTAAAACTAACACACTTGTCAGAGACATCTTTATATATACAAACACATTAAATCAAATGAAACATAAGTTCGTTTCCAAGCTTCGATATTCTTTCATGTTCTAAAAAAACAAGGCTCCGATATGTTCACTCAGCTAGAATACCCCGGTGGGGGTGGGGTGGGGGGTGGAATTTTAAAACCCTCCACCTTCTTGGTTCATCTATCTTTTCTCTCAAGTCCCAACCAAACACAAAAATATCTCAAAATCTTCCCCCATCCCTCCAATATTTTCCAACCTAAGGGGTAAAGACTAAAGATGCCTTAAATATATTCACTATATTTTTGTTCTTTGTTTTATTTGGATCTTTAGTACCTTCCTAACATATCTCTACTTTCTTTGTGTTAAGATTTCTAAAGGGAGCTTCAAGTGTTGATAACCATTTCTATTCCACCCATTTCGAAAAGAATATACCTGTAGGTGCTCCTCAATTGAATTTACTTTTCCACTTTAATAGATTTGTTATCCTATCATACACAGTACATATTTTTCTCCCCAAGTGATATTTTAATGTAGCATCATTCTTCTCATTTTTGCAGGTGCTCTTAGGCTTGTTGAGCATATGGAATGTTACATTCCTTGGTTACCCTGCAAGGGCAAGTGCATATTATATTCTTATCTCACTCTAGTTTTTTCATCCTCACACTACAAACCATGCCAATTAAGAGTTTGTTCATGATCTCTTTTAATGAAAATTTCAGGCTATTTTGCCATATTCTCAAGCACTGGAAAAGTTTGCACCACATATACAACAGGTATGGTTGAGTTTAGCTATAATTTTGGTGCTCTCATTCTATTCTACATGTCTTCTGTTTCTATGCTTTTCTTCAAATTTTGATTTAGGTTAGCATGGAGAGTAATGGGAAAGGTGTGTCTATTGATGGTTTACCACTTCCATACGAGTCTGGTGAAATTGATTTTGGTGAACCTGGCACAAATGGCCAACACAGCTTTTACCAACTAATTCACCAGGTATTTTTTTAAACATTATCTGATGTATAATATATGTTGTTTATGTGATTATGAAAAGTAAACTGTAAAATGAAACAATGCCAAAGCTACTACTCCGAATGTTATTTGGCTTGTAGCAACAATAATGTTCTGGCTGGACATGAGAATATCTACCCATGACATCCGCCATATATTAAAAAGAGTCATCTCATTCATTTTCTTGACGTAATTGTTGGTGGTTCTTGTAAGTTGTAAAAACAAAGAGAGAGAATGAAAAAGGAGGGGAAAAAGTACTAGAAATCTCTATTTTATATAAAAATTTCTATTTCAGGCTTTATCATTAAAATTTGTCATTCTTATGCTCCCAGATTGAACCATTAAACTTGCTTTAGGTTTGGTAAATGGTATAAAGCTTTTGTGAAATCTCTATTTTATAGAAAAATTTCAACACTGAAAGCTTCAAATTTGACAATTTGTAAACATATCTTCTTTAATGTTTAGGGCCGGGTTGTTCCTTGTGATTTCATCGGTGCTGTGAAGAGTCAGCAACCTGTATACTTGAAAGGTACAGATCAGATTTTCATTTTCTGCAATCCTCATGTAAACCTTGATCATCAAGTTATGAACCCAAGTACCCAACAGCAGATTGTGTTATATCTAAAAAATTCTGAACTTTATTTTGCAGGTGAGGTGGTCAGTAACCATGATGAGCTCATGTCGAACTTCTTTGCACAGCCTGATGCCCTTGCTTATGGGAAGGTATGAGCATGTGATCTTTTGTCGAGCATTTTTGCCTAGTGTCATGCATATTTGTCAGTGAAAGGAAATGAAATATCTTGCATCATTGCAAAGGTTTTGTATGCAGTGGTTATTGTTCTGTTAGATTTATCACCTCAATTTTGATTACATCTTTAACCAAACGAAACAACAGTCCACTTTATCCCACTGAGAATTAGGGTCTGGTGGGCAAGATGCACCCAAATCTTTACCCTACCCCAAGGAATAGACAGATTGTTTCTCAGAAGGATCTGACAGAGGAGTGGAAATTGATTGTGTCATCTTTCCGATCTATAAAAACTGTCCTTTTAACTAATACAGCTACAATTTTTCAGACCCAAGAACAGTTGGAGAAGGAGAATGTAGCCCATGATCTTGTTCCTCACAAGGTGATTGTACTTGCACTCAATTCAAATAATCATCATATCAACAAATGTTGAGTGAGTTTTCCTCTCACCGTGGCTTTCTTTATCCAGATCTTTTCGGGCAACAGGCCTTCACTAAGCCTGCTATTTCCCTCATTCAATGCTTATAATATTGGGCAGGTTTGTTACCTTCAACATTCTTTGAGTACTTGCCGCATTAAAATCATGTTTGTTCAAACCATCTTACCTTTTCCTTCCATCCAGTTGTTGGCGATCTATGAACACAGAGTTGCCGTGCAAGGCTTTGTATGGGGTATCAACTCTTTTGACCAATGGGGCGTGGAGCTAGGAAAGGTAAAGCTTCAGTCAAACTCACTAAGAGCGTGACTTATTTGGTTTCCACCCTGGCAATAAATTTAATCCCACTTCTCGAATAACCAAACCAAACAGCTTGAGAGTAGGGTCTAGGGAATGCTAGATGTACACAGGCCTTACCAGCACTTTTGAAATCTAAATTAATATTCTCTCCATGGCCAAATTAAATTCACGCTTTCCTTTTTCCGTCCCTTCGAAAATAAAATCCATACTTCTCCATTTTCTTTTCCAACAATGGAATGCATGGCTTTTAATAGTTCCCTATCTTCCTAACAAATTCCAAGTTTCCAACAACCCACTATTTACTCTTCAACACTTTTTCTTAAAACTTTATGACATCAACCCATGAATCTGATTCGGGGACGGATGGAGTAATTACTTTTTTTCCCCTGATAAACCAAATGCAGTCATTAGCTACGCAAGTAAGAAAGCAACTCAACGCTTCCCGCAAGAACGGAGAGCCAATTGAAGGCTTTAATTTCAGCACTAAAACGTTGTTATCGAAATACCTAGAGGTGAGAACTACTAGCATATGACCCCTTTTCAATACTAAATTTACTGAGACGATACAATGTATAGTAGTAGTACAATGTGATCTCTCTACTTTTTTTGGCAGGCAAGCGCCGATATTCCTGCTGATCCTCCAACTGCTCTACCCAAGATTTAACTGAATGCATCAGTTGATACACAAACCAGAGGTCTGAGTTTCTTATAGTACGTTGTTATGTATTATTCTGTGTACACTAAGGTTGAGACACACATACGTATATATTAATTTCTCGTTTTTTTGTGTTGTCATAAATAAAAACCCCGCCTTTCCGCTAAAGTTGTGAACCAGTTAGCAACGTTTTCCCATCGCAATCAATAATTTTTTATCGACGTGAGGTGTTAAGAACGGCGTACCCGCCATTTTCCTTGGTGTTTTTAAAGCCTTCTCTTTTCGGAGCAGCCGAGATTTTAAATATATGTAATTTAACACCATAAACCGAAGCAGGAACCTTGTAATGGAACACACTTACAGAGTTAATGATACTACAAGCACCAGCCAAATGCACTTGATGGAACTTCGTCTCAAGGTGCTCATATTTGCCTCACGGGGGGACACTATCTTAAGGGCATGTCCCCAAGTATCAATTTGATCCTGCGTCATGGAACTTTGTTTTAGGGGCACCCCTACGAGCACCAATCCAATTAATGGACTTTGTCTTAGGGGCATAGCTTCAAGCACTACTTCCACACGACTAATGGCAATTCGTCCACGTGCACCAACTGACCTAACCTCCTAGGACTATTAGAACAAGCTCATTGTTGTGCCCCTGAGACAAAGTCCCGCAAGGCAGGTCAAGTTGATGCCCATAGACGAGCCCATGAGATGGAACCCCATGAGGCATGTCGAATTAGTGGTGTCGTACTTGCGAATGATGTGTTTGTTGAAATCAATGTTGGAGTAGATGTGAAAAAGTGACTATCCGATATGTGCTCGTAGTTGTCCCCCTCGTCGTAGAAGATCCCACAAGATGGAGTGCAATGAGCCGTGTTGAATTAGTGATTCTAGTTTCAAACACTATTGTAAAATTTATATTGGAGGAAATGTGAGAAATTGAAATGAACTTGCAAACGCGGGTGAATAGGCGTCTTGTTCAATGGTCATGAACTATACCGATGTTAGAATCGTATGAAAAATTTAACAATAATAAGTTTAATGACACGGATGACAGTTGTCTGTGAATTTGTTCACACATATCATGCAATCGCCTTTAAACATATACAACTGCACTGTTTGTGTGAACAAATTCACAAATGATTATCATATGTGGTGTTAAAATTTATTGTTGCATGAATCAAAATTATAAATTCTAACAAAAAGATTAAGGTAGTGTTTGAGAATTAATATTTTATTATTGCATTCCTAAAATTTGAGTTCTTGGCATTCAAATGATGAAGTATATGGATTTGTAATAGAGCTTTATGATAAATGACTAGGTTCAATGGCCATTCATTTTGAGTGGCCATGGAAGCTACTACCACTCTTCAATGCTCCGTTCAAAAAATTGATGATTCATATTCCCCTAACCCCTCCTCCCCCCGGGTAAATCCCCCTTGCCTAGTCCCGACCCTAACCATCGTTCCACCTATGTCAATTGCACCTCACAAGTTTAATTAATTTAAAGTCAATTTTTTTACTTTAGAGTCATCGAATCTTGCGGGGTGCAATTGAATGGGTGGGGGATGGGTTGGGGTCGGGACTAGACGGGGGTTAAGAGGGGAATGAATCATTAGTTTTACAAACAGAGCATCGTAAGTATATGAATCGGAGCAGTGACCACTGAAAACTAAAAAACAGTGGCTATAGAACCGGCTCATATAATAAATTAAGAAATTTGTCTCAAATCCAAATATAATTTCATATTTTTAAGTTTTCCAAATATAGAATTTGAGTCAAATTCAAATATGAAATCTAAATTTAGGTTTCCAAACGACCCATAAAAGATTTCAATTTAGTTTGTGTAGGTATCTATCTAAAGAATACAATTTTGTGTTGATGATTGGAAAGAATTGTTGACTCTGTGTATCATTTGATGAAACTCCCCAATTCTCACGGTACAAGGACAACAAATATTGATGAAAATCAGTTTTGATCATCAATATTCAATAATTTATAATTGAAAAAATGCCATTTATCTATACAATTTTGGTAATGCTTGTCAATCAATGTCCATGGAACTCCATAAGCTTTGGTGCCAAAATAAGCAATCTACTTAGAGCATGGGGAGTGAACTTCCTAGCAAACAAGTGACACATTGTGGTCTCATGTCCATTGTACTCACACTTGCTCCCATTCCTCAACTTGTGCAAGAACTCGACCGTCACGTCATTCCGATAAAACCGGGAGGGGTGGGGCCCGCCTTTCGACCAGTCGACCCACGTCAGGGTCCTGTTCGAGTTCTCCTTCCCGAACTTTAGGTACACCAACGAGGGCAAGTAGTGCTCGTCGGAGTAACATTGCCCGGTGCAGTAGGCCTGGAAGAGGGGGAAATACGTCCTCTCGGAGATGACTTCGAGGGCGAGGCGTCGGTCCATCTCGAACCACTGGGACCCCTTTCGCCAATCTTGGATTCGGAGGGTGGGGCCCATGCGTTTGTTGTAGCGGCCCCGGCCAACGGGGCCCGGGAGGTCGTAGACCTCCACGTTCGTCTCGGAGGAGTTGGTAAGGTAAGAATAGATGGTGGGGAAATTGAACAACGGAATGCAAGCTTCTGATAGGAGAACAAAGCGCTCGTTGGAGAAGTCGAGAAGTGCGTTTGCGAGTAATCTTCGCTCTGCTTCAATCATGTTGGCCTTCCCCCATTCCACCTTCTGTACTAAACAAATATCATATGAGATTAATATGTGAAGTAAATCCAAATGAAAAAAAACGTCTTGCTCCGTAATTCTTGTGTCCCGTTCGTAAAATTGACGGTTCCTACCCCCCTAACCCCCCAATAAACCTCCCCACCCCGCTCCGACCCGAACACACACTCCCACCCCTTTCAAGTTAATTTTGACTTTGGAGTCAATTTTGATTCCAAAGTCAAAATTAACTTGGAGTGTAATTGAAGGAGGTGGGGGGTGTTCGGGTCGGTGCAGGATGGGGGGTTTACCGGGGGGTTAGAGGGTAGGAATTACGAACGGGGCACCGGAGCACCCCCGGGTCATCCCATGACATTGATTCCCAATGTCATGGGAACCAAGGAATTATATGTAATTACATACTCCTAATTATGAATAATATGATGCATCAACATCAAGTTTCAAAATTAATATATAGATATTAAATTTATATCAAGTCACAATAAATTTTTCTCAGCTCACATATTATGATCAAACGATATATTGACCGAGAAGAATCAAACGAAAATCGAATTGAGGGACGGAATGAGTAGTTGGTATTTGTGTGAGACAAAAGAACACCATTTTGAAAAGGAAAAATAATACTCCCTCCGTCCCAAATTATTTGTCACATTTCTATTACCGAGGCAAAATATCAGGTTTTTTCAATTAATTTTATTTACATATTGGTAAAGAAATAAAAAATAAAAATTACATATCAAAAAACTACATGAAAAGTTCTTCGAAATAAGAGGCGTCAAGAATATTTTATTTTATCAAATAACCAATGAAAATGTAGAAATAAACAAAAGTTCTCGCGACTATTGAAAAAGCATATGTGACAAATAATTTGGGACGGATGGAGTAATTGTTTGAACCATATAATAAAATGCTTTTTCTTTCTCTAGGACAAATTAAATGCATGTTTTTTCTTTAGGATTTCAAAAAGAAGAAAACGTGATTCATTCCCTCCCGTCATCATGATGAAGGTTCACTTTGGCCCTGTTTAAGTGGGAAAAAGCTCACGCTGCCCATCGTTCATAACATGATGATCAAATTTCACTTGGCTTAACTTTCCCTACTTTTCTCCCTCCTATCACAACGGGTTTCCCGGTGGGTATATATTATTGACAATTACCAAATCTATTCTCTCTTTTTTTTATTTCAATTTATTTTTAGTTTAATTCAATCTGTTTCAATTTAAATCCTTAATTCTTTTTACATCAAAAGTAAAAAAGATATACTTTTTATATTAATCATACTCTTCGAATCACGTGTAAAATTCCCTGTTTACAAAATTTATGGATAAAAATATTTTATTTTATCTTTTTCTCCATATCCAATAAAAACACAAGTAGTGAAGTTAGCAAATTAAAAACTATTGGGAGACCATAATAATAACATGATAAGTCGATAATCAATTTTGTAAGATGAATATAATAAAGTTATTTATGTATGAATACACAATTCAATTTTTAAATTTATGATAAAATTGCTTTTTATTATATTTTTTTAAAATTTAAATTAAAATCATATTAAAAATTTGATCAAGCCTTAGGCTCAAAGTATGTGATATATTCCGTATAAGTGTGGGAGTTATTGACAGCCAATCACAGTACCAATCATATCGTTGGTAATGGTCAAAAAATAACAACCTAATTCTAGTCTTTTCAAGGCCTTAAAAATGTTCACAATGATTAAATAAACGTCTCTTTCTGAGTTTTAGAGGTATATACACGTTCTGAAATTCGAAATAGGATAATTATTTAAAGAGATTTAAAATCACAATTTAATTAGTGATAAGTAGGAATAGCCGGAAACAGGGTGATTGGCGATGACAATGGTAGCCGGTGACAGAAAATGGTCTACGGTTGAAGGGAGATATCAAACCCTCAAATTCATATCTAAAGCATCCGTTTTGGCTTTACCAAACACAAGAAGTTCTGATGTCTGGAGATATCAAAACTCATACTCTCTCTGTCCCATAAAGTGTTACCCATTTTGACTAAAGTTGAAATTAAGGGATGGATAATTTTGTGTTGACTTTCCAAAAATACTCTTGATGTGATGGGTAAAAGTAGGATACGATGTGTAGATTATTAGGAAAAAGGTATGATATGATAGGTAGGGTTTAAAAAGTAAGTGGTAAAAGTGGTTTTTTAATAGAAATGGGTAGAAGATTGTGGGACGCAATTTTTTTGAAACGTGTAAATCTTTTAGAGACGGAGGGAGTATTTCTTTTGCTCACCAAACATGCCTTGAGTGTAATTAGCATGGTTATTTAAGGCGCGATGCGCACCGATGCACAAAGGGGCTCTAGTGCCTCGATGCGCGATGCGCTATTGATGCGCGTGCATCACGAACACAATGCGCGCTTTGAGGCATAAGTAACATAGCATCTACAAAATAGTAAGATAAATAAAAAATAATGGAATTTAAAAAGCAGCTCATACTACATTAACTGAATTCTCAAATTTTACTACATCAGTTTTTTTCTCAAATGTCAAACTCATAAAAAAAAACTAAAAACAATTAAAATTAAAAGTAAAAAATAGTTAAATACCTTTTAAATAAATAAAGAGGGATTCAGATCTAAACTGTGACTCCAATCAGTCCAAGTCAGTAAGGGATAAGGAGTAGTAGAGCTTTAAAAAAAAAACTAAATGAAGATAGATGTGTATGAATAAGAAGAAACAAAACTAAAGAGAAAGTAAAAAAGGCGGAAGGCTGGAAGCCTCACGATTATAAAAATGAAAAAAAATAAAAGAACCTAGAGAAGCAAAAATTTCGACTAAGTCAACCCTTAAAAAAATTTAAAATATAAAACGTAATCCGTGTTCGCGATGCGCGTGTTTTATCGCATCCAGTCGCATTGCTTATTGCGCTGATGCGCAGGTATGCGCTCGCATAACGTACATTGCCTGCATCACCATGAAGAATGCGCAAAGCCCTGCGCCTTGCGTGATGCGCGCCTCAAGCGCGCTTTTCACAACTATGGTAATTAGTGTTTTAAACTTACATATCTAAATTGTTTTTTTGGAAGACAATAAAATATATACTCTTAATAAAGTCTCACAAATACTTTCTCACTTTTTTTAAACTGCTCCAAAATCATCATTTTACTTTTTTCTCCTTTTGGAAAAAAAGAACATGTAGCTCCAACATTTTTTCCTGTAAAGAAATTATAATAACACACTTTTTTACTTTATATTTAATATTTTTTGTAAAATCAAAGTGTGAGAATTCTATTACGAAATGAAAGTAGTATCTTATTTTATTATTTTTTGTCCCACTAAATTTTTCTAAATCTATCCACTCTAAAATTTTTCTAATTTTATCATTACGTGAGAAGATCCATAAGGTTTTTGAGAAACTTAGGTATACCATAGAAGCATCCATATTGCATACAATTTTTATTTCAAAATTTCTATTTACGCATTCAAATATTTTTAATTACCCCTTGCAAAATTTAAGAAAAGTGTCAAATGTAAAAAAAATGTATTGTAAAATTAAAATTTGATTAATTAAATGAAAGAAACATCTTGTGAGTTGAATATTCGTTACTAAAATAAGAAATAAAGTGAAAGTACATTTTGAGATGTAGAAAAATTGAGTGAAGTTTTTTTTAAAGGATGACACCCCACCCCGAGGGCCCCTCAGCACCGGCCGAAAGTTGAGAGAAAGTAAATTAAGCTATAATCTCATGCAATTGGTGTAAGGGTGTGGTTCCGTGTTTGGTACTTGCAGATGCCCCATGTTTTGCATGTTTGCCTCTCTCATCGCAGTCTTCAGACTTCGAACTCGGGATCTCTCCTTTAAAGCACCCATATGCCAATCGCTGAGCTACATCTCACCCGCGAGTGAAGTTTTCTTAAGGGTATGGTGTTGGTGTGGGATAGGGAGTGTTATTCCTCTTCTTTTTTTCTTTTTTTTTGGTATAATTGCAATATTTTTTTTAAACTTGCTCTTGAAAGGCAAGAATCAATTGACCCTTTGTTCACTCAATGCCATTCTTTCTATCAAAACAAACGCACCACATTTTCTTTATTTAGTGATTTTTTTTTCTTTTTCATTTTGTAAACAAATCTCAATATATAGACAGGCTGGGTTTGTATTTTATTTCAAGTATAATACTACGTAATTAATTAATGCTATATATGGTGTACAACCTTATTGTTCTTTCCTTTCCAAATTAATGTGCCTTGTTTGACATCATCTTTTTTATTGGAGTAAGTGTTTTAATCATTGTCATTAATTAGGTACAAATAACAATACTCCAATAAATTACTAAAAAATAAATTAAACAAGTATTTTTTTAACATTTTGAAAATATTTATATGTGAATACTATTAAGAAGGTACATGAAATATATTCCTAGGGGACATTTTAGCTTTTTTATATAAAGTGACAATATATGATTTATATTCGTGCCAAAGAAAGAAAACAATTTTTTTAATTCATAAATAAAAATAAAACCAGTAAATTGGAATAGACAAAAAAAGAAATATGTACCGAATATTATAAATGAAGAATTTAATTTCAAAATAAATGTGAAGACATTTATTTCTCCTATACTTCGTACTATACATGGCCACCAATCAAAATAATATACTTCCATAAAAACGAAATTTATTTAACTCCAAATTAATTAAATAAAAGAAGCGTGGAGACTAACATGGTTTGTTTGCAAGACCATAACTTCTTAATTATTTAAGAATGGATAATTAATTAATGATTAAGATTCTCTAACATGATACTCCTATTAGAGTTGGTACCTTCCTTTATATGATGGACTTAGTTGGTTCCATTATTATTTTTCTCTAATAAATTAATTTGATCACTTTAATTTTACCAAGATTAGAAAATTTTGAAAAAAAATGTTAATTAATGAAAATAATGAGTATATAATGTTTTTTTGTGAGACGGTGAGAGTATTTTTAAATTGGTCATGTTATACTAACTTGATTTCAACCTCACTTTGACCTCATTGCCTTCACAGACGTTATGGACACGGAAAAGTATTGAAGACAGTGAAGAATTTGTTTTGGAACATCGTTTTAAATCAGCGTTAGCGTTTTGTATAAAATTTTAATGGTGTATATTAATTCTGAAAACGTTAACACTAAAAACTACCAACGGATAGTCATTTCAAAACGCTAATGCTAACCTCTAATAAGTCAAAAGTGAGATTAATATAGTTTTTTTTTCTTTTTAAAAATTATTTGTATTTAGTGTTTTGTTTAATTTCAAATAGAGCCAGTCAGCGAGAACACATTTTCTTTCAACCCCCCAAAATACCAAAAAAATATTTGAAAATTACCACGCAGTAAAAGAAATTCTGGGAAAAGGACTCCAAATTAATTACTGTAAATAAAGAAAGTATGTATAATTACCTTGCTGGGAATTCTGGTGCCGTGGAAGACGGAATCCGGCGGCGGCTCCTCCGTTCCATTGTAAGAGGGATCGGAGTGGACATAGATCGAGAACAGCCCTTCGTGCCCGTCGAAGAACTTCTCCCAGAGCGGCCGGAGCGGCAGTTCCCGGCGGGCGAGGAACATGAACGCCACCTTCGGGACCCGCCGGAACGGCGCATCCGGGATCTTGGGCGCCACCGACGCCCGCCAGAGCAGCTCCTCGTCGGTCATGTCGTGCGCCCTGTTCTCCGGCGGGGCCAGGAAGTCCCGGAGCCCGACACGCGCCCCGGCGGCGGGCGGCGGCGGAGGGCGGCGGCGCGGGGCGTGGACGAACTGGAGGCGGAGGGACCAGGAGTTGTAATTGCCGTAGAATGAGAGGACGACGCCGCAGGTGAGGCCGCAGGCGAAGAAGAAGAAGAGGGAGATGAGGGTGAAGGCGTTGATTGGGGGAGTCAATGCCTTAATTGTTGTCGCCATTATTGAGCTCTGCTGGTCATGGCTGTTGTTATTGTTCTTCATCTTTTGTTGTTGAGAGAATGGGAAATTTAGAATGGTGATGAGAAGACTAATCAAATGTATGGTATTTTGGGGATATGCCAACTATTTATATTTCTTTTTTCCTTTTCAAATCAAATGTGTCCTCTCCACTTCAAAAAAAAAAATGTGTCCTCTCCTCTTTAGGATTGAAAGAGGAAATCAATAAATAAGGGATCTTGAGTTCGAGTCACAATAAACACGAGAGATGAATAGTTTTGAGTGAGGATTAAATTGGGTTAAGGAGCATAATAGGAGTAAAGCATTGATAAAATCTCAAAATAGGAGTTGAAAGATAAAACCCTAAAATAGGAGTTAATCACCCTTAGCCATTAAGCATCCCATCTTTACAAAATAAAAAACTCTAAAGTTGAAAGCAAAACGTTAATACTCCGTAACGAAAAGCATGAGTTCTTTAATACTCCGCAACAAGACTTTAACTCTCGAGTAGCTAATAGCAAGCAAAACACAATATTTATCTCCCATTTTCATTATAATTAAAACTAAATACATTTACAAATTAAAAGAAAACAATCCTAAATTAACTATCGTCTCTGCCCCTACCATCGTTGCACCCCTACTGACACCGTTGTATGTGACGCCGATGCCATCGCCACCCTATCATCGTCGCTCCATCGCCACACTCTCGCCGCCATCGTCATTACGTGTTGCCCATTACATCTCTACCCCATGCCACTTTCAGTTGAATCTCCATTGTTGGCTTACTCCCCCCACACCAGGATGATGTGCCACCGCGGAAAAAATCCAACATTGTTGCCCTTTATTTTTCACCGACATCGACGATATCACCACTCTACCACCATCACACTCTGCACCATTGCCGACACCACCATCACACTCTGCACAGCAACGAAGGTATAAATTACCATATATAATGCCACTTTTGCAAATTCGAAATGTCAAACAAATGGATAATTTCAAACTCAACCACTGACCTGCAATAATATAATCGGTGGCCATTATCCATCTCACGGCTACTGTTATGGCAGCCAGATGACCATCTAACAGTTGGCTCTCATTTTCCGAAACTGAATCACCATCTGAAAGCATCCAAACAAAGCTCAAGATAAATAAAAATTCTATTAAATATTAATAGGGAGTCCAAACACTTCTGAAAGATTGAAAAGTGTGAAATTGAGGTGGGGTGAGGTAGCAAATCTGAGAAGGTGCGGAGACGAATCATAAGGGGTGGGGTGCATGGTGGTGGCGATGTCGCTGTGAATCAGAAGTGGCAGCGGCTATGACACTACTACTAGGTGGTGGAGATGAAGATTGGAAAGGGATCGAAGATGTTGGACGCCGGAAATGGAGCTCCAGACCTTATCGGTTGTTCCTGAAGGTTCATCCACCTTAATCGCACCCCAGGAAGCTCATATTCCAACTCCAATTGCTGAAATTGTTGAGGTGGCGGAAAAGATTTGCTTTTGAATATGATCTGGTTGGGAAGAAAATGGGGCTATGGATTGATTTTTTCTTTTATTAATTTTACTCCTATTTAGAGTATTTTAAGTTTGAGATCCTATTTTGAAGATCTGACATACGTTTTACTCCTATTTAGGGAGTTTTCTTAATTAAATTCTCTGTAATTTAATGTATGCATACTTTCTTAATTCGTGCTATTGAATTCGAGAATAATTATAAAATTATGCACTTCTGAGAGGAATGGAATGAATTTTTTATATCAACCACAATAATATGAGTAATAATTATAAAAATCATAACAATAATAATTTATTTGTCTCGATTTACTTGTCAAGATTATTTTTTACAATCAAACTAGACAAACTTTGATCATTAAAAAAATAAAATACTCTTTTAGCTAAGAAGATTTTCGCTATGAGGAAAGCCAAGGTAAGTTTGATCAGTATGATGGAAGCTAAGGTAAGTTGTATGAATATGTGCGATAAGAAAATTTTGGCTAGGATGAAGCTAAGGTAAGTTATATGAGTATTAGTCAAACGAGTTATGTATGTTGTATGATGCAGAGTGTTGGACATTTAAGAAGAACCACGTTCGTTAGTTACATCCTACAGTGATGCATATGGTGTAGTATATGAGTGGAAGGCGAAGATAGATATGATCCGGGACAAGGTTATTTGAGGACGAGTAGGAAGACATTGATGGGGGATAAGCTCTATGAGAAGCTAGATTGAGAGAGTTTTGTCATGTGAGACACCAGAGTGACGAGGCACTAGTGTGGATATGTGAAAGACTTACTGTGGTGAGTGAGAGTAAGAGAAGAAGTAGACATATAAAGAATTGGAAGGATATAATTAGACATGACTCAAGGCTTCTAGCTTTTGCTGAGGATGTAACACTAAATAGGCATGTTTGAAGAGCTAGTATTAAGATAGTTTGGAAAGTATTTGTGGTTGGATTAAAGATGAGCAAAAGGACTGATGCGGTCAGACTAGATCGGTCTTCGGAAAAGACTGCTACAGTAAAGGACTGGACCAGACTAGTCTTTTTAAAAAACCTGATCCTAACTAGTCCGGTCTTCTTATCAAATTCAAAGATCAAATAAGACCAATAGTCCAATCTAGTCCGGCCGGTAGTCCGATCCGGTCTGATCTCTAGTCCCAACATATTAGGTCAAGATTGTAGTTTGCGATGTTGTGCCAGGGTTACCAAATAGTCCATTTTGCATCAGTCGAGATTGCATGTTGCACTTCGCACGCTCAATCGCTGATTCTCTAGGGACATCTCTAGGGACTAGCTATACTGCTCTAGGACAAAGTGTTGTGACGCTTAAGTTTATCTTGAAACTCTAAGAAAATACTAAGGGGATAGGGGAAGACGAGAAGTATTAATCATTTCTAATTTGTATTACTCTATATTATTTTTTAAAGATTTTTATATATACTACTCCGTATATACTACTCCCTATATGCTCCGTAATTTACAAGTAATATAATTAGATTCTAGAGAACTAGTTTTTTGGACTGGTCCTAGTCTTTAGACCAATCTTTTACTAGTTTCGGATCAGTTCAGGTCCTTAACATGGTTTTTACTAGTCTTAGACTAGACCTAGTCCTCTATAAATATTAAGGAACCTTTGAGACTATTGGTCTTGGACTACTTTGTTTCCAATCTTTCAAGTCCAAATCATAGTCAGTCTCAGTCAATCTTTTCGGTCCCAATCTTTATGCTCTTCTCTAGGCTGGATGGTACTACTCATAATTTTTAGAGCGTCTTATGCTTGGCACTTTTCTATTTGTGCTTTCCTTTCATTAACTTGTTCTTTGTTTTTTGTGCTCTATGTTTTTTTCTTCTCTAATTTATGTTCTAACTCTTCCCTTAAATGAATTACACTCTTCAAACATGTAAACTTTTATGACTTTTAAAATAATTTTATTTACAAATTCGTATGGAAACAAAAAAGTTATATATTTAAAAATAATACTCCCTCGTTCCACAAAACTCTTCCGGTTTTGACTTTGGGGAAAAATAAGGAAAGCGTAATTTTGGTTGACTTTCCAATTTTGCCCCTAATGTGATGAGAAAAGTAAGATGTGATAGTTTTGTTATTAGTAAAAAAAATATGATGTGATATATAGGGTATGAAAAAGTAGGGGTAAAAGTGGTTTTTTAATAAAAAATGGAAGTGTTTTGTGGAAAGCAAAAAAATGAAAGAGGAAGAGTTTTGTGGAACGGAGGGAGTATCAAAAGTTTTACAAAATAATACGGAGTAGATGACAAGAAAATTTTTATTTTATCAGATGATCAATGAAAACACACAAAAGAATTCTCAATAACTCGTAATAGTAATGAGGCAAGTCATTTGGGGATGAAGTGATATTTTCTATGAACTTCTGCTATTTGTGTTGTCCGTTTTACTTGAGCCAAAGGTTTCTGGGAAACAGACTCCCTAGTTTTGAGTAGGGATTATGGTTTGCGTACACAAATTCCCCACCCCATACTCTTGTGGGTTGTTGTTCTTTGAAAATATTTTACAAGAACGTTCTATTAAATCATCTTTTACTATGTAATAATTAATATGTAATGCAATATTATTCATTTGATTAAAATGTATCTCGTTTAATCGCAAAAAAGAATCATTGAAATGAGTTATGACATGCGAGTATTGTTGGAATTGTTTAATGAAGAACACTCTGAAGCAGTGTTAAAGAAGAACTCGATAGTATAACGAATCGCGTATGAAACGCTTTCAGATTAAAGTTATTTCGGGGTATACGAAATACTTCAATTGTATAAGACGTTAATTAAGAACAAGCACTCAAAAATCCGTCGTCCAATCCATACCACGAGACTCTATTTTATAGAGTCGAAAATTTCCATGATCGGACATGAACCTTCGCGTAGACATACACGTACGTTTGCGCGGGGAAGAAGAAAGGCGCGAGTTTGAACGAAGAGTCTCCTGCGGTTTTATAGTGTATTTCGACGTTTATCCACTAGTTCGAGTCTTTTACTGTTTTGGACTCCGATCACGAAAATGTTATGGATTTTCATAAAGAAACAACGTCCACCAGGGGCTGCCGCCCCTTGGACCCCGCTACCCAGGGGTTGCCGCCCCCGGACCCGCAGTGAATTTGTAATATCATTGAACGAGCGCGCACTCCGCGCCTCCTAACTCGTTTGACAGCGTCTATTTAAATTCTTGTCAGATCTAAGTAAAATCCAATTACACAAAATAATTTGATGACACTAAAATCACCAAACAAGTATTCTATTTAACTATTTGATATAATTTGATAATAATTGGTCTTATTGAATAATGAAAGATACCTTCTTAATATAGAGATTATAAAGAGAATTTCAGTTCAAGTAGGAAAAGAATTATAGTAACAATACAATAAGAAAATAAAGGAATAAAGAAGGCAACTAATAATCAACATTCAATTTCCTATTACTCTATAAATGCAATTATGAGATATTGAGATTATATTCTATTTTTAAAGTCCAAACTGAAATTCTAATTAAAGCCTAAATAGCCGACCCATATATTGATAGCAATTTCTAGGAAATAATGGGTAGGGAAAAAAATGAATAATAAAGCAGCATATACTGCCCACCATATTTGAAATTTGGAGACTAACGAATAACGTGATTGTATGGGATATGACTTCCTACAAATAAGATAAAAGTTGCATTTTTTGAAGGGAGAAAAGTTGCACTTCGTTCCAAAAAAAAAATATTACACTTCATTATTCAAATTTTATAAAAACTTTGTTCATTTGTATTTTTTCATTATTTATTTGATAAAATACAATATTTTTAAGACATCTTGTTTAATTTGTAAAATTTTTACGTAGTTTTTAAATATGTGAATTTTATTTTATATTTTTATACCAATCTTTATACAAAATAGATTGACAAAATTTTAAAATTTGCTTGACATAAAAAAAATACTTCATTCATCCATAAATAAATCACACTCAAAAGTACTCTTTTTTTTTTTTAAAAAAGAACGGAGTAATAATGTAATATATACAGAGTAACATTTGATTCAATTATAGTAAATAATTTTTTAAAAAAATGCATGTTCTTTTACAACCGAAAAATGCATGTTTAATTTCAGAGTTTTCCAACTTTGTCTACCCAAGCCAGACAATAAATTAGAAATGTGGAAACATTTATTATAGTCTCCCTAGCTATCTCAATTATGATGATGAGATCAGTATATGCGTTTTTAATCAAATGATTTCAAATTTGATTGCTGATTATTTATACATCGTACTACTTTATGATAATAAAAGATAACAAATTTATATTTCCTATGTTTTAAAATATTCTTAGGGCATATTTGGATATTGGCATTTGAGATGATTTTTGGTTGTTTTTTTTAACAATTTTGGTTGGTTTAACTTGTTTGAGCAACTTCAAAAGAACTGCTAAATGCTTAAAAATAGCAACAATAGAGGTTGTTGTAGCAAATTTAGTCCTCCAACTGAAGTTTTATTTTCTAGAAGACCATGTACAAATGCTTGTGCTTATATATAGAAGATGCTATTCATAAAAGCTAAAGATTTAAATGATAAAATAATGATTCGAGCCCATCAAAAATTGCACATGATTTGACATGTGTCCAATAAATAATAAGAACAGGAGAGAGAAAACTGAATAAATAATAAACAAATGCCGGTGTCATATTTAACAACTCAATTTTAACATTTGTTATTGGAACAGATTGAAATAAATAAACCTTTAAATCACTGTACAAATGCTAAATGAGGATATAGAAGCTCAATTTTTTGCTCTCTTGTTGGAGATGCTCTTAAATAGCCAAATAAAATGTTAGGTTATTAGGATTGGCTAGTTTAATCTGAAAAGTCAAATTATATATGAAAAGTTAGAGAGAGTAGTCTTTCACTTTGGTTGTTGGACGAAATTTAATATTTTTATTATTTGTCCTTGTATACGATTTTTTTGAATAAGTAAACAAATATTTTTTTGTTGCATAAATAAATTAAGTGTGTGTGTATTTGAGATGTTAAACTTATTCATCCTAGACTAGACTAGTTAACACTTGAGCGGGATGTTGGAAGTCTGTGTGTATCCCACACTAGATACTAAAAAATTATACTCCTCTCATATTAAGAAAGATGAAACTCTATGAATTTATTAAAGTTTTTAGTTACTCCATAGATAGTAAATCTAGACTTTATATGACAAATTGGTCAATCTAGCCTCAACACACCAAAATCAAAAGAAAGATGAGTCTCTAGCTTTCAAAGTTAATTGAGTTTGACTGCAAAAACTGATTGAGTTTCAATTTTATAATAGAGATACGTTAGAGCCTTTTTTATTTCATTAATTTTTTGACATGATATCACTTGTATCAGAGCCTTGTTAACGAAGAGGTCGCAAATTTGAAATTCACTGCCACCCAATTTTTTTAAAAATAGATTTCACGTCTGCACGTGAAGGATATGCTAGAGTGTATATTTTTTAACTTTTTTTAATGACATATTGGTTTATAGTCCTCGCCGGTTATTATAGCCGCCTCAATGGGTCGTTTTCAGATTTTTTTGATATTGATGGAGAACAAACTAGTTTTAAAGTATAAAGAATAATTTTTTTCAATATAATATTTTCAAGTTTTGTATAACTAATACTCCGTAATTTATTATATAACTAAATAAACTTCCGCTTTCGTTTTTTCTTTGTCCCCAAATAAACTTCTCTTTTCCCTTAAAAAACCCCGACCCTTTTACCTTTTACTTTTTCATACCCTACCTATCTATCATACCTTTTTACTAATAATCTACATATCACATCTTACTTTTACACATCACATCAAGGGTATTTTGGAAATTCAACACAAAAATATCCCTTCCTTAAATCCTCAAAAAGTCAAAAAGAGAAGTTTATTTAGGTACGGAGGGAGTATATAAAATATTTCTTGAACCACAGTTAAAATTTTAAATTTTAGATTAAATTGATTCCTTAATTACAAGTGTCCTAGAAATATTTCTTTTTCATTTATTTTTAAACATACGTGTTTAAGAAATGAATTAAATAGAGATGCCCACTGCACGTTTGAGTTAGTTGGTGGAATGGAAAATTAGAACGCCAATTTGGTCGTTGGAAAATTAGAACGCCACTGTGGAAAATTAGCTTGTTTGGGAATAGCGTTAGTGATTAACGTTAGTGTTTTGGATAAAATTTTAACAGTGTAGATTACTTTGAAAACGCTGTCCGTGAAGTGTCTTGAAATGTTCTCACCACCCACAATTGAATTGATTATTCATTCGACATGCCAATATGCCATACAACTCCTCCTACTGACTACGGAGTGTATATATTGCTCCGCTACCTGCCTTGATGATTAATGTCTCCTCCACCTTTGGACGAGTGGAAATGGGCGTAAAGCCCGGCCACCACGTCAAACGTGATTTTAATGTCGAGAGATCAGAGCGTTAAACACTGCCCCTCTCGTCCGTCATTCCGGTGTTATCTTTCTTGCATTACACCTTTGATGAAGATGTGCTGCTGCCAGGCAATTGCCCCCCACCCCCCCACCCATACGGTTCAAATTATGGTCATTGGGCAAAATTTAAAAAAAAAAATTGATACTATAAATACCCATTGTTCTAAACACACAGAACATATTCTCATTTTCTCTGTAATTCCTCCAAAATATATTATATTTCTTTTAAAACGAAGGAGCATGCTGATGGTAAACCCTAGTTGCGTCGATTGAAGAACAAAGGGAGTGACTGCGACTGTGTGGATAGTGGATGAAGATGATGACTGGCAGACAGTAATAAGTTTAATTAGAATATTACACATTATATTTTCTAAATCTAGATGGAATGGAAATGAATGGTACATTACTTAAGAATGAATAAAATATTATTTGAAAAAGAATATTACTTTGTTTTATCAGTAAATAAATACTCCGGGGTATTATAATTATAATGAATAAATATGTTAAAATGAACACTTTATTATTTCAGAACGAGCACTACGTTGATTCAAAATAAATACTCCATCCGTCCACAAATAAACTTTACGTTCACTATTCACAGGGTCAAACTTTATTCACTTTGTTGGCCTATTTTTGTCATCCATTTGATAAAAACATATAGTCATGTCACCTCTAGTTTTGTAGATCTTTTGATATACTCCGTAATTTTTTAATATGGAGTATGTAAGTTTTATTTTTCAATTTTACATCATTTTTCATATAAAATGATTTGAAAATAACTTCAGTCAAACATCGTAATGTGCAATGTAAAGTTTATTTGTGGACGGAGGGAGTATGTTTTTTATTTCAAAATGAATATATACCACCTGCTGTAACGGGCTCGTTAACTCCTGGTAGAAATCTCTGCCAAAAGGTCCAAAGACTAGTGACGGAGTATCTTCCATGAACTGCCCCTTCCATTTCCCCTCTGTTTACCATGCCGGTAACCAGCCGGAACGCCGTCGGTTCTATGTCCTCTACCGCCGTCACAATAACAAGCCTCCACCCTATCGTTTCTCTCCATCATCTCCCCGTCGTCGCCACCACCGCCGTCGCCTCCTCCATAAATTCTTTCCCGATTACTCAACCGGATTCGGCCCCTCCTCTTCTCCGTTCGGTAAAAGCCTCAAGTTAACCCCGGCAGTCCTCAGCGTACCTACCCGGCCCCTCCATCGCTTCAGGGATGTTATTGAGTCCAAGCTCGGTGAATTCCTTGACTCGGGCCGCAAGGCCGTGGAGGACCTGCAGACTCTTGTTCTGGTTGATGATTCGACCGGGGAGGTGGTGATATCCTGCAGCAGGTCCACGGTTCAATTCCTAGGCACTATATTCCTTTCCAGTATCATTATTCATATCACTATTAGGGGTTTAAGTAAATTAGTAGCTTTAGGGTTTCGAAAAAATCACTCAGCAGGCAATGCCCAATTGGTGTACAAAAGGGATCGGAGTTTATCTGGAAGAGAAGTCTTGGTTGCAAAGAGGGAGGGAACTGATGTTAGGACTTACACCAATAGAGTTAACATGCTTCAAAGTATCGATGCCGAGGGCAATGAAATATTGGGTTCTTTAGACCAGGTTAGAGGAAAGAGGTCATCTAAAAGAAGTAGTTCTGTGACAAGATTGCCCAAATGGTGGCCGGCCTTCACTGATTCCTGCCAAGGACCGATGGAGTATCAGGAGGAGAATCAGAGAATTGCCAACAAATTGGTTCGAGGTTTGTAAGCATTCCCTTTACTTCTTTGAAATGGTTGTTGTTTCAAACATCAAATTGACTGTGTAACTTCGGTTCATTTGCCCGATTAAGATAGGTGATCACTAGTGAGCGTATATGTAGACACATGTGAGAT